GGTTAGCACCAACCACATTGTTAGCATTGCTTTTTCAAATTTACATTAAAAACAGAACCGGAAGACCAGGGATGGTAGCATATACCCTTAATCCCAATACGTGGGAGGCAGAGACCTCAGATCTTTGTGAGTTTGAGGCCAGCCTAGTCTACAAGACAAGCTCCAGGCCAGCCGGTGATACACAGCAAGATCTGTCTGAAAAATAAAAGCAAAAGTAAGCTTAATAAGACAAACAAAAACATTAGGTGGTAAGGCCCTGTTGCTGATGATACGGAATGGCGTTGGTTGCAGGACAGAGAAATGGAAAGCTGTACCTGATCTGGGATCCTCTCACTTAATGCATAGCTTTCGCGGTGACAGAAGGCATCATGCAGGCTGTTGGGGGAGAAAAGTCACCAGCGGCTTCCCCAGTGGCGAGTCTTGCATGCTACAGTACCAGCCTTGCAGGAAAAATGTGTCCACAGGTGCAATAGTGGCATGGCTGTTACAGAAGTAACCAACTGCTTTCTGGTTAGATTTGAGGCCTGCTCTATGGAGAGAATTCATGGCTGGTCAGAAGTTTGTGGGGGAAGTGGTCGTAGATCCTTGGAAGCAACATGCTACTGTAGTTCTGCAAACAGACATGCTACCAAACTTCCTTCTAAATGTGTATGTTTATACCCATAGGTAGTGTTACTCTCAGCCTTGGTCGGGGAAGCTCCTTTTTGTAGCAGGCAATAGTCGGTGCAGAGTCCTGTAACTGGTCAGATGCTGAGCATAAGGGACTGTTAAGAATAAGTGCTCAGCCTTAAATAGCGCTTCTCTATCAATCTCCCTAAGGCTCAGGGCCATCGTGCCAGAGCTAGAAGATGGGCGGGGTGCTGTGAATCTACTCTAGACATGGCCGTTGCAACTCAGAGCAGCTGCGCTTACCTGCATAAGACTTGCTCAAGACCATGTCCGTCCAATAATTCCTGCATGGGTGAGGGAGGGGCTTGTGGTGTTCCACCCCACCCCCACCCCCGGAGCTATTGGCAACTGAAGCCTGCTGGGGTAGGAGGAGTCATTTTCCTTTGGGAGTGTGGCCCACATTCATTCACACAGCACTAACGGGTCTCAGTGAATTATTAATGAAAAAGAGAGAGCATGGGGATGGAAGAGAGACACGTGGGGGGGGCTTGGGAGAGTAAGAGGGGGTAGTTGGAGGTGGATAGAATACAGATTCTTTGTATACATGTATGAAAATTTAAAAAAAAATCTAGGACCTTGGGGCTGAGAGTATAGCTTAGTAAAGGACGCCTGCTTGGCTGTGTAAGAGGCCCAAAGTTGGCTCCAGCCCCACCGACAGAAATGAAAATAGTATCTTAGCTCATATTTGCATTCAGCGCATTTTGACACAAGTACCATTACTCATTTTACAACCTCGGCAATTTGATGGACAGACATTTCCGGCACACATTTGCATACGCTGCTGTGTGGGACGAGTGTCAGTTTTGGTTTCGCTTCCATCTCAGAAGAGTAACAGGTTGCCACTAAGAGTTCCCAGCATTCCTCTGCAACAGTCTCTGTGGGTTTGAGAGGGAGGTCAGTGTGGGGTTTCTGGGCACCTTTCCTTCAGGAAGTGGGAAGGGGAACCGGTTTCATGTGCTGCGTGCGAGTCTCTGGGCTTTGGCTCTTCTCTCAATTATTTGGAGCTGGAACAACTTGGTTTTAAAACAAACCATATGGGCCGAGAGCAGTCGGGAGGACATTGGCTACTGATGTAGTGCTGAAGGCTTGCAGCCAGCAGAGGCCCTGCCCTGTGCCATTGGCTCACTGAGGTGTGGAGCATGTCCCTTAATCTCAAACACAAGTCACACAGGAAACCCTGAAGGAAAATTGTAGCAGGAATTATGAGTCTCTCTTTTCTTCTTCTTTTTTCTTTCTCCTGTCTGGAAAACCATTTCTTTCCAAGTTTTTTTTCTTTTGTTCTGATTCTTGAAAGAAAAATCTTCCCCAAAGTGCCAAGAAGAGGAAGGAGAAGTATGTAAGGAGAGGAACGTCTGTGCCCCTCCCCCAGCTGACCTTCCCACTGTCCTCCATGCTCAACACCAGCATGGAGAATGTGCTCCCACGACCAGTCTTTATGTGAAGGCAACGTTTTGTCTCTTCTTGCCAGAGACGGAGTCTCTCGTAGCCAAGGCAGGGCTGGTCCTCCTGGCGCTCTTGCCTCCGGGTGTCGAGATTGCAGTAGGCGCCCATCTCCTACTTCAGCTTGCTGGTGTTTTCCATCCCCGGAGGGAACAGGACTTCATTAGGATTCCTGAGAACACGTGCCCCTAGCCAAATCTCCATTCCTCCTCTTAGGAGCTCTGTGATCTACACATCTTATCCAAACCTGTTTTCCCTTGTCCTAAGAAGGGGCCGTTGTAGTGCCAGTTGCAAAGAAAAACGGCTGTAACGTTCAAGAAAGTCACTGCCTCCAATACAGTAAACATGGGGCCTCACAGACATGGAAAGCAGGGAAGCCTGAGTGCCTGGCACACGCAGCATGCACCCAACCTGCTAGAAAGAGGAGGCAGCTCACCATTTCACCATCCCACCCGCTGCCTGTGGTGACACTGTGGCTGAGCGCCGTCTGGGGCAGTGACTGCTGTCCACAGAGAGCTTTAGCCTTAGGAAGTCAGACATTACCCCCCTCCTACCCCCAACCCCCCCCCCCACCTCCACCTGGGCACATCTGATTTCATTCACATAAAGCAAAGCTAGAACTCTGTCCTGTGGCGTGATCTGGTCCGGAATCCCGCGTGGTCCTATCCACCTGTCAGATGTGACTCATTTGACTAGCACCTGTAAATATGACACTAGCATGCCGAGTTGTCTTGTTCCTGTGCTTTTTCTCGTGTCTTAGATCAGAAGCATAAAATGAAATAGCACACTGGCCAGCATAGCAGACGGGCTGACCACAGCTTTATCATAGGGTGTTGAAAACAAGAAATCTGTCTAAGCGCTTGTGCTGGCTAGTTTTATGTCATCTTGACACAAGCTGGAGTCACTGGGGACTTTCGATTGAGAAAAACGTCTCTCTAAGGTTAGCCTGTAGGCAGGTCTGTGGGGACGTTGTCTTAATGATTAATGGGGGGAGGCCCAGTCACTGCGGGTGGTGCCACCCCTGGGCAGGTGGCCCTTGGTTGTATAAAAACAGGCTAAGCAAACCCTGAGAAGCATTCTGGTGAGCAGTGTTCCTCCGCGGCCTCTGCATCAGTTCCTGCCTTAGACCCCTGCCTTGAGTTCCCGCCCTATCTTCAGGGCTGTGGTGTGGAAGTGTAAGCCAGATAAGCCTGTTGCTCCCCAAGTTGTTTTTTGGTCATGGTGTTTTATCACAGGACTGGAAAGCTAACCATCACAGCACGTTTAAAGTAGCTCCCTTGGAGCAAGGGTAGGAAGAATGGAGGCCTAAGTTTTATTTTATTTTATTTTTCCAAAGACACACTGAAGCTTTTCTGTGGGTGTTTAGAATATATTGCACTCCATCTTACTGTCATATTGGTTTTTGTTTTTTGTGGGGTTTTTTTGTTTTGTTTTTTTCTTGAGCTCTGGGGAGTTCTACCCTTTTAAGTACGACCACATTTCTGAGGAACCGATTATCATTTTTTTCATTCTCTTTCTCCACTTGGATTTACTATCCCTGCCTCCCAAGTGTCGGGAACTCCTTGCTGTGAATGGCAAGGTCTTGCTGGGCGGACAATTCTCGGGCTTCCCTGAGACTGAAGAAAAACCACCCCCCCCACTATGGTGCTCTTAGCCCACTGTCAGAGCCTTTCTGACATTTAACTTAATCAAGATGTTAGTAAAACAAACAGTGATCCTACACCGCTGTCAGACTAAAACTGCTGGCCACCGCGCCCCCACCACTTACTTCAGTGTTTGGAAGTCTCTGTTGAGAATAAAGACCGGGAGTGGGTGAGCTAGCCAGTTACTCTCAGTCCTGGTCGTGGCTTCCTAGTGGCTGGGCCGTCCTGTACCGTTGACACCCGGTCTATGGTACCCTCATTGTGAGACACACTGTGGTTTTACATACGATCAGGGTGTGGGATGAGACTGCGATTTTAAGCCATATTTCAACTTCAGGGATGTTAAATGTAGAGGGGGAAACGTGTGTCTCAGAGCTTCAGGATATAGCGAGAACCAGTTAAGGTGGAACGCCCTTCCCACCATCAGTGCTGGCTCCGTCACGGCCCTCTCCTACCCCCAGTGTGGCTAACTGACCGAACTGCAAGGCCTTAACTCACCGCGCATGTTTTGTGTGTGCCAAGTTATCCATGGTGTTATGGGATCAGTTTAGGCCAGGAGGAGTAAGGAGGCCCTAAAAAACAACAAAACAAACCTCAAAGATCTGGGGGTTTGCCTGATTCACATTGAATTTAATAGGACTCTTATATCGCCTTTGAAGGATGATAAAGGGCTTGCTGGAGGACATGGGGGTCCTGTGTCCCCTGTCTTACCTGGTCCACTCATAATGGTTCAGCGGGACAGAGATCACCGAGTCTCTAAATGTGTGCCCTGTATGTCCGTGTCTAATGAACAGATTCTCCAACACACTCACCCTCTCTACTCTAAATGTTTGTTTCAGTCAAGAGTCTTCCTAAAGATTACAGTTCATGATTTGAATTGTTTTAGTAAATGTTATAGTAATTTTAAGCAAGGAAACAATGGTATTTCTTTTCCCAATTAACTAAGATTTTAAAGAAACCTTTTTTCCCCGGATCAAGTAATATATTCAAGCAATTAATTGAAAACTTGCTTTAGTTAGGCAGTGCTGGCCAATGCTTTTAATCCCAGCATTAGGGAAGCAAAGACAGGTGGATCTTTTTTAGTTGAGGCCAGCCTGGTCTACAGAGCTTATTCTAGAACAGCCAAGGCTACACAAAGAAATCATGTCTCAAAAAAAAACAAAAAAGAGAAAGAAAACTGACTTTCATGAGTAAAAAAATGTGGTGTTTTCCCTGACACTTACCCTGATCTCCCCTTTTCTCTTTCAGTTTTTGGGAATAACATTTCTTGGAATTGGACTGTGGGCGTGGAATGAAAAAGTAAGTTGAGCACCATGAAGACGAACAGGTTTGGTTTAAGGCTGCAACTTGAATGTTTCCCTTTTGTCTTTGGCCACACCACAGGGTAAAAGCAGACAGTTGTCTGCTGAGAGGAAGCACTCTCCAAGACTGTGTGTCTGAGGTGATCACCATGTCAAAATAATCACTACCATCACAATGCAGCATGTACAGAGGGGATTCAACTGGGATTTGACCCAGCTATGATGATCTCATTATGCTTATAAATGTCACTGTGTGACCTGGAACCTTTCATCCCCCGCCCTGACTTTTGAACACTTTTGGAAGATGTCTGGTTTTCCAGTGTGCCATATGGTAGGATGGAAGGCAAATCTAAATTCCTGCTTAAATATCAGATACACTCAGCACTAATGCTAAAAGGTGTGAGCAGAAAACAGCTGGTCATAATATTAAGAAATGCTCAAAGTCAGTGGTCACATGCAGTACAGAAAAAGGAAATCAGAAATGCCAAGGGGCGTGGTTCAAACTATAGTGAAAATCAGGGTTCTGGGCAGTTTCTATCCCAAGCTGGTGACATGTAGCTTCTCACTGCATCTTTTGATTTTCTCTGACATTGCCTGGCCACCACTGAAACTCAAACACTAGAATCGCCCACTCTTTCTTCCTTGTTTGGAAGTGAAATCACTAGCAGCATGTTTGGCTATGGCAAAGTGTCCATCCTGTGTCCCCACGCCTCACCCCCCCCGTGTGTGTGTGTGTGTGTGTGTGTGTGTGTGTGTGTGTGTGTGTGCGCGCGCGCACACACGTGCAGTGGCAGTGTTCTGGCAAACTTAGGGCTTGGCTTATTCTTCTCTTCTCTTATCTCCTGGGTGTTTGTCTTCTAAGTCTGGCTGTGCTTCAAGGCAAAGGTTCTTTTGAAGTGTTAAATGTGTTAAGAACCATTATCAGTAAATAGAAAGGAGACCCAAACCAAGGCTCCTTTCAATCAAAAGACTTTCAGATGTCAGTGGGATTTTGTAGAGTCTCTTGCAAAGTCAGAGTAAAACCTGTGGGGAGTTACTCAGTGGTAGGGAATTGTCTGGAGTTAGTTCCCAACCTCGTACAAAAGGAAAGAAGACATAAATTCTGTTGGCAGAGTGTTTGCCACACAAACACGAGGACCTTAGTTCATCCCTACACTGGTGCAGAAAGCCAGATGGCGTCATGTCGTTGCACATATTTTTAAATTCTGTACTGGGGCAGCAGAGCCCGTGGGATCCCTGGAGCCAGGCTGTGAATCAGTGAGCTTCAGGTCCCTGTCTCTAAAACATGAGATGGGTGACACTTGATGCTAACCTGTGACCCCCACATGCATGTGCACACATGTGAATGCACACTTGCTCACACACACACACACACACACAAATGCACTCTGCATATGTGAATGCATACACACATACAAATGCATTTTTTAAAGAAAGAAAATAAGCGTGGTGAAATGGCCTAGAGCAGTGGCTCTCAGCCTTCCTAATGCTGCAACCCCTTAATACAGTTCCAACATTAAATTTATTTCATTGCTGCTAACTGTAATTTTGCTGCTGTTACGAATAGTAATGTAAATATCTGATATGCAACGCCCAAAGAGGTCACGCCCCACAGGTTGAGAACCACTGGCCTTGCGAGTAAAGGCATTTACTGCCGTGCCTGACCAGCTGAGTTTGATCTGCAGGTCTCATCCAGTGGACGGAGAGAACTGAGAATTGTTCTCTGACCTCCATAGTGTGTGTGCCTCACGCATATACACACGTGTACACACAGACACTCACGTACACACATACACAGAAAATGCCCAAGTGTAGTAAATTTAAAGAACAAGGAGAAAAGGGCACCACCCCTTTTACATTTACAGAACTCGCCTCTAATATATAAAATACATCCAGATATGCACCACTGCCCAGCAAACAGTAACCTTTTAGACAAAGCCCTCCTTATACAAAGTAAGACAAATTAAGTTCCCCGAACAGATAAGTTCATCCCTCGAAACTTCTCTGTTGAATACCAATCTTCTCTTGGATTATGGTTGGCTGCCGCTTCATCCCAGTTAAGCCTTGGGATTTGTCTGCGTGGAATCTCAGAAATTCTCCCTTTAGAACCCCGTGTTTGGTTAAGTGCCAGATAACACGGCTTCTTATCACCCGTTTAACAAGAGCCCGTTTCTGGCTGCCTCAAGGGCAGCAGAAGGCAGTAAATGAACCAGTTGTCCATTCCAGCAATAGACAGGGTTGGTCACTTTGAAGCTTTTTTTTCTTTTTATGAAATACGATTGGCAGCGTCTCCCAAATATGTGGGGTGCCACCATGTTCAGAAAAGGATGACATGGCAGTCATTTGTCAGGGCCGCTTCCAGAAAGTGGAACCTTTTTCTTGAGAACTGAAGTTACATGACCCAAGTCACTTAGTTACCACCTAACAGAACTTGATAAGCAAGGTCCAAGTAAGAGGAGCAGGGACTAAAGGTATCCGACCATACAGTGACCCAGCCTGTGGCACACTGCTCCCGAGCCAGGACCTCAGACAGAAGGCTGTAGCAGAGTTCTGCCTCATGCGCTAACAATCTAAGAGAGATGCCGGCCGGAAGGACGTCACTGACCAGGAACTGCATCCAAACGCTAGCAAGAAGCACTAAACACGGACTTCTTAGAAAGTGACAGGAGACTGGTGTCTACCGCTCTTCGGTTTGATTGTTGCAGTGGTAAGGATTGAGCCCAGGGTTTTGTGTGGGCCAGGCAAATGCTGTGTTACCAAGCCATACCCTAACCCTGAGATGTCGCTTTTAGAACTTGGAACCAGCGTCCCTGAAGTGGTGGCCTTGGGATCTATGTGAAGTAAGAGAGATCTACATAGGAACAGTCTGAGGACATCCCAGGAACAGGGATGACAAGGGCCTTGCTGACTCCACCTTCGTAACTGCAGGAGTCCCTTGTCCAAGACCTTTGAGCCCTCACCAGGCCAGGTCTCTAGTTCAAGGTGAATCCCAGTTGAGGGTGGAATGTAATTTGAACCTGCTGAGCTAACACCAGTTTGAGTCAGTAAACTCCCAGAAAAGGTGTGCCATTTGCTCTAAAGGGGGAGGCATGGACCAAGTTTGGAGCTGAGTCAAAGCTGGAGTGATATTAAAACCACTACCTGGATCAGATCTCCTTAATACACACACCTGTAAGCACACTCATGTGGGATACAGAAGCAGCAGAGGTACAAATTACTGCCCTTCAAACGTAGTATCTACCTGCCTGAGTTAATACTGCAGGCAAATACTGGAGATAATTGTCAAATAATTTTATCTAAATTCCAAGGTGGCCTTGAAGGTACAGAGAATGGCTGTGTCTCCAGGGGAAGCTGGTCTATGCTTAGATTTCCGTGATCTCAGGATCTGCTCCTTGGATTCCAGTTATGTAACAAGAATCTCCTCTCTAACACCCTCGGCAGCACATAGCTGTAGTGAACTCATTTGTCCCAATTAACATTACCGATCACATAGCTTGTGATAGATCTAATGCTGAATCTAGCAAGATGAAACAAAGAGTTTCAGTCCTCAACCTCAGACCGTAGGTACATGAGGGTACAATATGCATCTATCCATAAACAATATGCATATGATATTGCAGTAAATAGTGGTTGGGAGTGAATATGCATGGCATGTCAAAAACTTTTTCCCATCACATGAGGGTCGTGTACTGTGGGTTTTCTCTCTGTTTTTGAGTGGTCCTGTTGGGTCCCACAGAATAAATCCTTCCACATGCTTGCTCTTGAGGTTTCTCAGAACGGAGCTCTACTTCCTTTGGGGTTGCCAGACGAAGCATCTTTTCTCTGGGTGGTCCTCACATGCTGTGGACTGAAGTCCCCCCACCATCCTCTCGGTCATGTCCCTCTGGCCCCCTACAGGATGTCCTTTCTGTCTTTGGGAGGATACCAGAAGAGCCATGGCAAGTATGCTTAGGGGCTGGAGAGATGACTCAGCGGTTAAAGAGCACTGGCTGCTCCTGGGGAGGACCTGGGTTCAGTTCCCAACACCGACCTTGGCAGTTCACAACGGTCTGTAACTCAGTTCCAGGGGACCCAGTGCCCGTTCTGGGCACATGATGTACATGGCACAACACATACATGCTGACAAAATCATGCACAGACATAAAATATGAGTAATAAATCTTTTTTTGTTTTGTTTTTAGAGACAGGATTTCTTTGTGTAGCTTTGGAGTCTGTCCTGGAACTCATTCTTGTAGACCAGACTAGCCTTGAACTCACAGAGATCCACCTGCCTCTGCCTCCCAAGTGCTGGGACTGAAGGTGTGTACCACCACTGCCTGGAGAAATGAATAAATCTTTTAAATATTTAAATACACTTTTTTTAACCAAGGGGATGTGCCTGGATTGTGTCCCAGCTCCCTTCTGCAGGGGCCATGCAGTCTGAGACACCCTGCCCATCCCTGTGTCGACAGCTTGCTGTCAGGTCCGGCTCTTTCTCAGACCCAGCCAGTTTACCACGTCTGCCTCACATGTAGCTGGGTTGGGGCGGTCAATGCAATGTGAAGCGTGCCCATGGTAACGGGGGGGCGGGTCCGCACTCCTGCAGCCCAAGCCCAAGCCTCTTATCTGGAAGGCTGTCCTTCCACACAGTGTGGCTTCAGCCATGGTAACGGGGGGGGGGGGGGGCGGGGGGCCCCCCCGCGGTCTGCACTCCTGCAGCCCAAGCCTCTCGTCCGGAAGGCTGTCTTTCCACTCAGTGTGGTTTCAGCTGCACATTTTGGTCAGTCTCCTTCAGTTCCTTCTTCTCCATCAAGTCTTCCTTTCTCCTTTTCTCTTCTTCCGCGAATATGAGGATCTGACTCAGAAGGGCTGGAGCGGCCCTGTGGACCCTGTTTGCACAAGCCTCCTCAGCGGTTCTAGTGGCTGTCACTAATGAAAGCCGTGGCGATGTTGACCAGGTGAAGGACACGGCCCGAGACACCTCATGAGAATTCCCTTGGGGACTGACATTGGAAAATG